ATTTTCTCTTATATCTTCTTTTAAAAGTTTTTACGATTCATCCTCAAGTTTATAGCACACTATAAACCTGATTAGTTTCGACTGATGGACGAGTAATCTAAGTACCGAAGGATATTGGATTTTTTTATTTCTACTGCAGTTAGATTCTATTAAAAATTGTTATTTCATCCCAAATACCAATATTTTATTTATTTTTCTACATAATAATATTACATCCTATCTCGTGTGGGTTTGGGTGTGAATGTTGAAATAAAAAAAATATATATACAATAATTGCAGTGTAATATATGAAATAATATGTAAGAAAAACATTAAAATTCTCATATTCCAAATATCTCTAAAATGAAGCGGGTTGTTCGAAATAAATCGCTTTTCTAAACCGATACAAAAAATAAAACAAAAACTGCAGTATTTTCAAATATTCCTTTTATAATTGGTGGTAATGAGAACAATTTTGTTTTTTAATAACAATAACTTATTCAAAGATATAACTTAATCAAAGAAGATAATTTTAGAATCATAATTAAAAGCTTAAGAATTAAAGAAAGATGATATGATTCTGAAGAGGGGTTTACAGCCCAGAAACTTCAACTACGACTGAATGAGTTAAATAATAAACAAGCACTAGCGGATCCAGAATTTAATTTGGGGAGGGCTTCAGCCCTAAAGACTTTTTTTCATATGTATATAACAGTCATTAAATAGACAAAAAAAAAAAGAAATTAACTACCTATATGAAATGGTGTTTAAGTGGCTCTTGAAGTCCTATTAAATGTAATTACACGAACAAGAATAATTTAAGAGATAGTTTTTAATATTTTTTTCTGTAAAACATGGTAATATTTTACCATTTTGGGGAGGGGGGCTTCAGCCCAAAAGCCCCCCCCTATAAATCCGCCTGTGTAAACAAGAGAATATGGAAATTTTATATGTTCAGGCCTATAAAATAAAAACTTCTTCGACTTTTAGGATTTTTTTACGAGGCTTATTCAATTCACAAATAAATTATTTGAATTTATTTAACAATACCTCTCGAGTCCCATTTTTCCAAAAATAATATACTTAAGCGTTTTGTCTAAGATTATTAGCGAGGGGTGGGAGTAGTCCCAACGGATATAAAGTGTAGACTTTATATCCGTTTTAGAGCTCTTAGAACGCCACTGCCTTCTATTACTTCATGCTTCTATATTCGAAGGATAATGTAGAATTGAAATTAGTTAAAGTGAGGGATAGGCATACGATGGCACATTTTCATCAGCAGGATTTGTCTGCCATTACCCCGCTGTCAGAGACAGACGACTATTTGAAATGGCCCAGCTAATAGGCTTAATCGCAGTAATTACGGCATGAGATAGTAATAGGTTCAATAGCAGCAGATGCTCGTCCGGCCTCGATTCAATATTTGGTTTCCTTCACCAAAACGAAACAGATCCCAACACTCGAAATTCTTCTTAGGAAAATTATTTCTAGATCTTAAGCAAAAATGTTTCATCTTTCAATCAGGTTATTCCTTAAGGTATCGCATTAAGAGAACAATTATATCAACAATTTTTAGAACAGAGCCCTTCTTATCATTCATTATATCATATAATGTTGTATAGCACAGCGCTCCATATCATAACAGTTCTATGAGAAAGTGTTTCTTCCTGAAAATATAATATAGCATTTTTTTTTTTTTTTTTATAAAGATTTAATTATTTATCTGGAAAATGGTGTATGATTAAATCTTAAATGTATTTAAAAATAAGAAAATTATGAAAACATTATCAAAATAGAGAAATCAGATGATTTACAACATGGAAGATAACCTATTAATATTTATTAATCATGAGCTCGAAATAAGTAAATTAGCATAAAACATTGCTGGATATTTTTCAAATATGTATGAAACGATGTGAAAAACAATTTATGTTTATTTTTGAAAATACAACTACCGAATAGTTTTGTTTTTATTTTTTCTAATTGACACTTATTGACATGACTAATTGACACGTATTCTATTACACAGGCGGATATATGGGGGAGGCTTTCGGGCTGAAGCCCCTCCCCACTCCTCCCCAAACGGTTAAATGTAATTATCTCTTAAAGTATTATTATTTGTGTAATTACATTTAATAGAACTTCAAGAATCACTTAAACACCATATCATATAGGTAGTTAGTATCCTTATTATTTTTTTCCAAAGTAATTATCTTTATATATATATGAAAAAAAAAGCTTTCGGGCTGAAGCCCTCCTCAAAATTAAATCCTGGATCCGCTAATGTTCTATTATACATACACACACATAGACATATAAACGTACAGTATCGGACGAGATGGCCGAGCACGTTGTCTCAGAGACATAAACGTACAGTATAGGACGAGATGGCCGAGCACGTTGTCTCAGAGACATAAACGTACAGTATAGGACGAGATGGCCGAGCACGTTGTCTCAAAGACATATAAACGTACAGTATCGGACGAGATGGCCGAGCACGTTGTCTCAGAGACATAAACGTACAGTATAGGACGAGATGGCCGAGCACGTTGTCTCAAAGACATATAAATTACAGTCACAATATATAAATTACAGTCACAATATATAAATTACAGTCACAATACCGAATAAATCTCCATCATCATCACTTCAATTAACGCGAGGTGTTCCTCAGGGTTCCTCACTCTCCCCGACCCTTTTCTCCATCTATATTAGTGACCTTCCTAACGCCATTCAACACTCCAATTACCACCTATATGCCGATGATTTACAAATATACCAATCATTCCAAATTTTTGAGATGCCTGAGGCTGCCCGGAGGCTACAAGTGGACATCGACTGCATCAACAGATGGGCAGAAATAAATTAATTAAACCGAATGCAGATAAAACCAAGGCTATTATCATCGGGTCCAAAAATCTCATCAGCTCCCTTCCTTACTCTCCTCTACTTTACCTCAATAACCACCCCATCCATTTTTTCCCTACAGTCAAAAACCTAGGAGTAACCTTTGACCAGAACCTCTCCTGGGATAATCATCTCTCCCAGATTACCCGAAAATCCATAACTGCCCTTAAACAACTCCTAAGATTCCGTGATTGTATTCCTCTAAAAACCAGACAGCTCCTTGTAACCTCCCTTGTATTCCCCCACTTCGACTACGGCTGCTTGGTGTATGGAGGGCTATCTGCCAGGCTGGAATTGAGACTAAAAAGACTCATGAATTGTTTCATAAGATTCATTTTCGGGATCCCCAGACGTTCACATGTTTCACTATGGTACACCGAGTTCAAGTGGCTTTATCCTACTTCCCGACGACAATTCCTTCTTGGCGTTTTCGTTTTCCAAGTCTTCAGAACTAAAAATCCTCCCTACATCCTGGAACTCCTTACTCTGCGCTCCTCTATCCACTCTCTCAATACTAGGTCTCAACCTATAGACTTATATATTCCCTCCCATAAAACTTCCTCCTTCAGCAAATCCTTCGTCATTCGTGCTGCTTCCTTATGGAACTCACTTCCTACCCCCATGCGTCAATCCTCATCCACAAATTCCTTCAAACAATTCCTGTTCCAACACCTACTCCACATTCAAACTTCCCCTAACATGTAAAATTACTTGCATCTATATAATGTTTAATTTCAATCCATTGCACAATTGAAATAAGAATTAACAATAAATTAGTTGGTATTTTTATTATGTCAGACTAAGATACATAAATTTGTAATTCTGTTATTATTCTTAGGGGACAGTAGTTCCAGAATAAAATTATTTTTTCATTTCATTTTCATTTCATAAACGTACAGTATAGGACGAGATGGCCGAGCACGTTGCCCCAGAGACATATAAACATACAGTATAGGACGAGATGGCCGAGCACGTTGTCTCAGAGACATAAACGTACAGTATAGGACGAGATGGCCGAGCACGTTGTGTCAAAGTGCCCGATTCTGAACGTTTTGAGGGTTAGATTACCACCTGGGTCGGTTAATTTTCATGTTCTGCGGCCTCTGCAAATGAATCCTGACATTCCCACTTTAGTAAGTACGCGCCCATAAGCTCAAGATAGGCCATTAGGTGTTGGCAATGACAACAATGCCCACTTGCCAGACTAGTTCTCCACCATTACCAGGGTATATACAATTAAAAAAAAAAAGAAATTTAAAGATATTACCTACAATAAGTTACGCGATTTACAGTTTATATAATTAAGCATGTATATAAATTTGATTGTATCAGAGAACTAAGTTTATTTTAACAATAGATACAAAAGTGAAGCAAAATCGTTTGATGGAAAAGTGAGCTTTAAATAAGAATCATTACACAGTTCTTGAGTAAATAGGGATTGAAATGGTTTCTATAAACATTAACTTTCTCTCTTGATCGATTTACTCAATAAGAATTACACAATCCTTAAAAATTCAGCATAATAAAGAAGGAGAACAAAGTGATTAATAAAAAATATACAAAGGAAAAGAAAAAAGTTATTTAGGAAAAAAAAAAATGAATAGACAAATATAATTGAAAAAGTTAGGAAAAATGGTATTTTTGAGAGTTGAATGTTTAATTTATATTTATATTTGGACTGTTTTGTGTTATGTTACTGTTTTTAACCGAACATTTAAAACAGTATTGTAATTTTACAAGTCACAAAATTATTTGAGTCTTTAAATCTTAAGTGATATTCTCCCTTAAACCTTATGCATGAAAACCCTTAGATCATTTTATAACGTCCTAATGAGTTTTATAACACCCTCAACATAGTCATGGAGGACAAGCATTTCTATTCTAATGAAAATTCCATTTTTGATAGAACTCTTTTATCTATTACCTTAGCTAAATCTCTTATCTTAAAGGATAGGTGAAATAAGAATCCATTTAAATTCAATAAATTTCAATTAAAGAATTAATTGAACTACTCTTACATCATATTATTAAAGTGCTAACAAGATAAACAAAACATGTCATAAAAAACTAATTGTCTTTAAACATATTACAATTATTTATTTCTATTGTTTCAGACAATGAGCAGAATGAGGCAGACGCACACCTCAACAAACACTATAAACCATCACGACCATGAAAGCAACTTGGGTAATTGAACCTTCTTTCTATCAATTTTAAGTTAAGAATTTTTTGTAAATGTATTTTTTGAAAAAAAAAATGGAAAAAGCCTTGTTCAATATAAGTTATTGTCAAGCCTGGAACTCCATTCATTAAAAAATTTCTTGAGAGGCTTAATATGAAATTCTGAACAACTGACATGCAAAGTGCACTTTCTAATTAAAATATACCAAAGAGTACCATATGGTCAGAAATAAAGGTCATCTATAAGAGTGTAAAATATTTTACATCTGGTGGAAACCACTTCTAGTGTACAAGGTTATTTGGTTAAGAAATGAAAGTAAAGACTGATAAAATAAACATAGTTTAAAACATTTAAACTAAAGTATTTTTTGTATGTTTATTGTTTACTTAAAGTACAGTTTTTAAAATAAATAATCCAATACAATAAACAATTTTAACATATGAACAAAAACTTATTATAGTTAAATGTAAATAACGCATAAGAATATTGAATTGGGGATAAACTATCATTGTAAAATTGAAGAGAGAGAATTTTTAACTAAATAAATCAAATATAAATATGAGGAGATGATATCCTTGCCCAGAGTTGCCAAATGTCTAAGGCCGGCACTGCATTATTGGATAAAATTACGGAGGTTGATATTATTAAACAATTAAGAAAAAAAACATATGTATAAGGCATCTTCTAGGTACTGATCCTTGACAACTTTGCTGTTTCTTCTTTTTTAATATTTAAAATGCAATCAAAGGAATTAGAATATATTTTTTTACATATAGCCAAAACATGTTATGACTAATATTTTCTAAATTTAATGTAAACCCAAGGATTATATATGCTAAAACAAATAAAATTAATTTAAGCCAATCATTGTTAATTACAAGACTTATTTTATTTGTCATTACAGATGCACTGTTGGAAGATTTACAAACAACTGTGTCTCGATCCAATTCTCAACTGAATCTCAATGGAGGTACCGTCACAACAGGGTATCGAGAAGTAAGACGAACAGTAACAGATGGTACACCCCATGGTACTATGAGTGAATATCAGATAGAGTACATGAATCCTGCCAACTCTACGCATCACTTGGTTGAGAGTACTCACCATAATGGCCAAGTATGTTTCTTCTTAACAGATACTTTTTGCTTGAATAATTATTTTTTTTTATTAAATCTGATATTAATTTCAATAGCAAAGTCAGAGAAATGCTGCTTCCTACAAAGAATACCAATACTCAACTAGTGAACGCAGTAAGTATGAAAATAATTTTAACTTTTTGTATACATTATAAAATCAAAACCAAGTAATAAAATTCCTGATTTATTATAGATGTACGCAGTGATGCTAAATTAAAACAGAATATTTCTGAGCTAGACTCACTTTTGGATGATCTGAACACAGCACAGAAGAAAAATTTTTCAGAAAGTAATTATACTTTTTTTTTTTAAGACATTAAACGAGAATATCCAAACAAATATAATATTCTGTCATCATTTTAGATACAACTTTGACCAGAAACATCTCCGGAATAGACGCAGGTCTCCTGTAAGTAATATTTCTACAAAATTAACACCATTGTATTTTAACCACTAGTAATGATATTCAATATTTATGTTGAAAAATTGTGTATCAACATCTTCCTCTTAAAAGAGACAAAATCTATGAAATCACTTTAAAAAAACCAATATTATTATTTTTTTTTTTATTTTATTCTTTGGTAAAATAAAATAAATTTTCTTTTGATAAATTATGGTTGAAAAAGTAAAAGAAAAACGGTTTTAAAGTCTTGCATTTCCAGTAACTAGATTTCTTTCCTATGGAAGCTCCTCAATTTCCCAAATCCAATTAGTATCACATTAATCTAAACTAGAATTATCATTTTCCAATTTTATTTGATAATTGATTATATATTCTTTTTTTTGATCATTTTGTTTGTGATTCTTACAAAAATGTATGTAAAGAACCAAAATATTACCTCCAACCATTATTTTATTAGCCATTATAATCAATATAAAAATATGTCAAACAAACTATACCTCCTTATTTTTATACAAATAGTACTTTTAAATAAATTATTACACAGTTTTTGAAAATGATGTAGTATAACTTTATTGCACTTTTTCACTATAAATCATTTACAGATGACCATAACATACCTCTGTAGTTGTGCCTATTACATAACTAATTCAACAACTGATTTAATGTTTTTTTTTTTCTCTATCAAATCTAAGAGTTTAGATATAGTTTTTTTTATTATAGGTATTTATAATTCTTTCTAAATAATATATTCATCTGAAGGAAAATATAAAACATAATTGAGTACTAACTATGTATAATAGGTAGACTGAGTAATTTATTATTCAATGATAGAAAATTACCCTTCAAAGTATGACCCAATATGTATGGAAAAGGTCCTCCTCCCTTGAGAAATAGATTTTAAAAAATAATACGACAAAATTTTGAAAGACAAATGACATCTAAATGGATGGATATAAATTAAAATAGATTAATATGGTTAAATGGAGCTTCTTGAAGTTATATAATAAACTTGAGACTTATTTAAAGGGTAATTTTCTACCACATTTTTTTATATTTTTTTTTTTTTACATTAATGGCATTGGATAAATCCATTCAGCCATAACTTTGTAACCATTGATAAACTTAAACAGCTGAAAAATTACCTTTTATTCAGAGAACCTGTGCAGAGCAGTACTCCTCATAATCGCATAGTGGAACAAAAGCATTACCGAGAGGAGCGAGTGAACCGTGGGAGAAGCAGTTCTCCAAGAAGGGAACTGGTGTTCACTGGGCCGAGGAGCAGAGACCCAAGCCCTATAGGCCGAGAACAGCAATGGGATCAAGGACCTCCAGGAGTTCGCCAACAGCAGTTTTACAGATATGAGAAGACAACCAGCACTAGGACTTCTGGTAAGAACCACACAATTGCTTAGATCACAGAAGAATTAATATATTCAGAGTAAATTTCATAGAACGAATTTGAAAAGAAAATTATCATATAAATAATTTTAATATTTTGTGAATTGAAAGTATTGGTGTTGTTCAATTTATTGAGTCAATCCCTTCCATGGCTGACAGGGATATTGACTTAATAATTATGCTATTGGGCTGAATCTTATTTGACTGCTGTGGACTGTAAGTAATGGTATTTGAGTATAAGTAAGCTATGGGGTTAAATAGATTGCTATATCTTATATCTATTATACTCTGAGTTATTAAGGCCGAATCTATTACAATAAGTTTTAGTATGTTAATTTTATAAATTTTATTTCCATATTATAAACTATTTTTACTTGCTGGTTTTCAATCCGTTTTCTCTCTTCTTTTCTCTTCCAATGCTCAGGCCCCCTACTGAGCCGCTTGAGTTTCTACTCCATGTTTTCTTCCTATGAAAATCTGTATAAATGTAATTATTCCTGTTGACTAGTATATCTCCTCTTAAGTTGACATGAATCTTGCAGGAAGTCTGCATGTCCAGACTCAATCTTCTCTTCTCTTGCCTGCCAAGAGATGGCAGTAGTGCTGCTTGCCCCTTCATCTCATTTAAATTAAATTAAATAGGAACTTTGCTGTGTTCCCTTAACAGGTGTGATTAAGAATATCTTATTTCAAAAGAGAAAATAAAATTTAACTTTGTATAAAATGTAGTTCAGACCTTCATTCTTGTTACTGATTCCATTTCTTACTTTGTTCTTACTTTCATCGAAGTATTGACTATTCTTAATATTAATTTATATATTTTCAAGTGAATACAAATATTTTGTTTATTTCTATTTTTTTTCTTATTTTTAAATTAATGCTGTATTTATAGGGCCTAATTATATCCAAGAACTGAATAACTCTTTTGAACCAAACCAAACATTGAGAAGCAACTTGGCGATTGAGGACAGCAGTTTAAGAGGAAGATCTCCATCACCCGGTGGAAACAGAATAGAGTACCACTACTCTAACAATACAACCAACATTAGAGATAATACACCTCTTTACTCAAATGAGAAAGTTACCAACTACAGGGACAATAGGGACCACGAAACAACTCGAGAGTATTCACCCCAAAGTAAGCAATTTTAATTCTATTGCTCAAAACCATTTAAAAAATTTATAGAAGTTTTTATTACAATGTAAAACTGTACAATGTTTTCCATCATCTGTTAAATAATTTAAAAAGTTTATTTATCAGAGGTACAAATATTAAAAAAAAAAAGTTAAAATAAATCACCACATAAGACTTCTTAAAGGCTATTACCTATCTTCTACTCACACAATAAAAAAACAAAAGGTTGCTGGCTACTTTTAGATCAGTGAAAGGGTTTTAAAATCCAAAGATTATACATACATTATTATTATTCATAAAATGATGGTATGATTAAAAACATGTTATATTATTATCTTACAATTTAAAAAAAAAAAAGGATATACCATTACAACCATAGAAGGATCTCAGTATTAATAATCGATTAGGAATTATTCTTTGGAGACCAATTATCTCTGGAGCTAGGGCCCAAAAATCGACCTGATCACAGGCGAAGGTTTGGCTGTAAGTTGATATGAAAGCGTATGTTATTCTGAGTAAAAAGAACCTTGTCTACCATTCCAGAGCTTTAAGAAATTGTATTAGGCCAGTAACTTGAGGATCGAAATGGGAAATCCATTGGAAAAGTTTTTATTTTTTAAATTGTATATTTGGGTTCAGACATGTAAAAACAAACAAAACAAACTTATTAACGCGGTTCACCAAAGGAAAACTTTTTACAGCCAAAAAAGTCAGATTTTTTTTATATTTTTTTTGTTTTTTCACCTACAACTCCTAAACGGTGCATCAAGGCAAAAAAATGTGATCTTTGAGAAATTACAGAACGTTAAATTGTGCTTTGAAAGAGTATATAAACTTAATAAATTGGTTACGTTGTAAGGTATAAAACCACGGTCAACCAACACTGGTTTTTACCAAATTTGTCAAAAACTAAGACAAATTACAATAAATGGCCCTGTAACTTGAAAATTATTTCCCTAAGAGGAAAAACCGATAAACTCAAAGCTGTAGAGCATCAAATTTTGTGTCCACTGAGTATTAACAGTTTAATTGTACCCCAATTATATATCTCGAATTAGGATTCGTTATTTCTTTATGAAACTCAGTATCTTTCGACACATTATTTTATCAAAATCATTCGCTGTTGAGGTGGAAGTGTGACTTATACTGCATGTAACAGACTCTTACAAAAATAACTCAGTAGAATAGACACCTAAACTATTGAAATTTTGAAAATCATATATACCTTACCAATTTCTAACCATCGGGAGATTACTGATTTTGTTCGGAGTAAATGACCTACATTAAAATAGTTGGTACTCAGTGGATTTGATGCTCTACAACTTTGAATCTATGAGTTTTTCCTCTTAAGGAACTCATTTCTAAGCAATAGGATCATTTATTTTACAGTAATTTGACTCGGTTTTTGACATATTTGGTAAAAATGAGCATTGGTTGACCGTTGTTTTTCTACCATACCACTTAACTAAATTAGTAGGTTTAGGTACTCCTTCGACAGAAAATGTAAAGTTCTTTAATTTATTAAATAGTACATTTTTCTCTTTGATGCATCGTTTAGGAGTTATTGGCGGAAACAAAAATATCGAAATAATCTGAATTTTTTGGCTGTAAAAAGTTTTCCATTGGTAGCCCGTGTTAGCAATTTTATTTTTTACATGTCTGAACCTATATATATAAGTTAAAAACTTTTCTCACACTTTTTGCAATGGATTCTCTGATTCGATCCTCAAGATACTGGCCTAATATTCATTAAATCATCCACCATTTTAAGCAATGGCTGCCAAGCAGCAGCACTGGAATGGCAGACAAGGTTCAATTTACTCAGAATAACATACACTTTCGTAATTTACATTCAAACCTTCGCCTGCGATCAGGTCGATTTTTGGGCCCTGGCTCCAGGGCTAAATGGTTTGACAGGAGGTGTTATCAATATTTATAACTAAGCAATTTTTCTTCAACTCATTCATGGGTCAGTACCCACATTTTAGAGGCTTAAAGGGTCTTTAATTAATTAATATGAGCTTTTAACAATACTTTGAATCTTATTCTATTATTAATTAACCTGTGTAAACATCTTATAGTTGGAAACAAGTTTGTATATTTTTAACTTATCATAATGAGATTCCTAATATACTAAAAATAACATCAATGTTTTGCAGGATATACTACAGGCAAGACAACTAACAGCTACTCCTACAGCAGTACTAACAAAGATGTACGAAGTAGCGAAGTCCCTAGGTCACCACCACCACCTCATCGCTCACCTTCACCAGTAACCTTCCAGCAACCACCTTTACCAGCAGCCCCCAAGAGAAGTGGACCCTACAATTATGATAACCAACCTCCACAGTCACCACAACTACCCCAAAAGTTTTCCCCTTCTGACCCCACTAACAGACTTACTTACAACGTTTCTCAGCAACCACAGACTACAGTGTCAACGTACAAGTACAGCAGTACCACAACTAACAATTACTCTGTTGGATCACAAGGTGGCTACCCAGGTGAAGAAGCTCCTCTCCTTCCAAGGCCTTTTCCAACTCCTTCGCCGACACCAGAACAACAACCACCCAAGAAGCTTGATGATCTAATGGCCACATTCTCAGATAGTCAAAGGGCAGAGCTCAGGGTAAAGACATTTTTTCACTATGTCCCTTATTATCTCACCTTAAACCAAAAACTAAATTTATGAAAGTCAATAATATACATTTTTATCATTACAGAATAGACATAATACCACTACTACAACCTTGCATAGGTATGATTCAGACAGGTCTAACCAGGCTCTGATTCCCAATGGTGGTTATGACAGGGAGAGAGAAAAGGAAAAAGAAAAATTCATAGAGAAAGACAAGACCATTATAAAGAAAGAAGAAAGCAAAAATGTTGAGGGACCTCCTGTCTATTATCCACCCGGTGTTGAGCTATTCAGTAAAAAAGAAGAAGCAATGTCACAGCAACAGGTAATTATAATAAAATCAGTTCATGAAAATCAATAACGATTGTGGATTGGAGCAATATTAATTGATTTATAGATATTCCTTCCAAATATAAGTATTGTAATAAAAAATGCAATTATAGTAAAGACATATATATACAAAATGATAGTTATTAATGGAAGTCAGATGTAAAACCATGTATTCAACATTTTTTGTGAATTGAAGTTGTAATACTGGATTTGTTAGGGTTGACTTCATAGCTTGTTGATAGATCCTGTAGGAAATTGTTTACTTTAATTGAAGTCTATTTTGTCATTACAACATTTAATGTAAAGTATCCATAAATAGAAATATATATATATATTTTTTTTTTTTTTAATTATTCACGTTAGACACCATATGACAATCACACCACATCTATTTATTTTACATCACCTATAATGAGAAGCTTTCAGCTTCCATCACCATAATCATCTCTGTTGGATTACATTAAGCATTAAAATGTAACATAAAAAAATTATTTTGTCATAATATAAATATATAATTGTCACACAAATTAATAGTATATTTACTTCACTTACATTATTATATTATTTTAACTTTGCTTTTCGTCTTGATTACCTATCCCTTAAATTGTTATAGTTAAAATTATTTGGGTGATAAACTATGATAGTATGATGTAGACTGTTTCATTTTATTATTTTTACTGTTGGTTTTGAAGAAACAAAATTATTTATCACCATAATAATTTTAACTATAACAATTTCAGGAAAAGGTAATCAATACCACAAACATTGGAATAATGGACCTTTATGAGTTGCAATTATATATCTTTATTATAACTTTTTTTTTTTAAGTTATGCTTAATAATAATTCAACAGAGGTGAATATGGTGTTGAAGAACATGGATTTTTAGACAAATTAAACAGTCTAAAACAGCCTAATATTTTATTTTTTAAATTTAATTTTATTAAACTTTACAGAGTGGGGGAGGAATGTATAAAGCTAAAGCTAAGTATGAATATGAAGCAAAAAGCAAAAGCAAACATAAGGAGAGTAGTGGTAAAGCAGTTGTACCAGTTTGTCTGCCAGTGTGTTGCGCCATGCCGTGTACCATTATGTAAAAGCTTATTAAGATTTACTCACATATCAACATGATGACAATCAGATGATTTATACATGACAATATAATATATTATTACGTTTATAATTAACATGTTAATTTTATACTATGCTAAAAATAACGTGGTATCTATGTGATAACATGGAGTGTTAGAATGGCAGTCCACATTGCCAATTGTACAGAAGCCTTACTAATTATTTTATGTTCAATGTTAAAAGCATAATCAACAACTTAAACAATCTCATTGTAAAACCTAAATCTGAACTTTTAAATGAAATGTTCAATCTACTGAAAATGTGAATTGTATTATTGTAAAAAAAAATTACTAATTATTTAATTATTAGGAACTTTACACATTTACCATTATGAATAAATTATTTAATTCCATTATTTTGTTTCTTTATTCATCTCTCTAACGAATAAAAATTGTTATCATCATTAAAAGTGAAAAAATGAACACAATTTTAATATAGTTAGATTAATGAGATAACAAGCCTATAAAGACTTTGGTAGAGTCAGTTATTATCAAAGAAAAAATTGAGGTAAATGAAGGTTTTTAAATATTAGCAAACTTTTAAGCTGTTCTTTAGGAATAATCCAGGACAAAAGGGATTTTCTGAGCATATGTTTCAGGGCAACAATGACTTCTCAAAAGCTATTTCATCCTCAAATGGATTCTGAAAGGTATTTGTAATAAGAAGATATCAGCTAAAAATGATAGTAAGAATGTTCACAAGTGGTAATAAATGCACATAAAATGGAGTCCTTTCTGCTCAACAAACAAAATATATCATTATTGTACATCTGCTTATTCTGATTTAATTAAATGATAAATGCATTGCTAGAAACTATAATGGTCCCTTTGTACAGTTTATATCATAAACCTCTTTATTATATTAAAAAAAAATTACAAGTACAAAATGATAAAATATTTCCATAAATTAAACAGAAATGATTCATTTCAGTATTCTTATTTATTCAAGTAAATATTATTACTTCCATGAAGATACATTTAACTATCAGATAATTTATTTATTGTGCATAATAATAGTATATGAGAGTACCTTCTTCCACTACTCCCTCAGCAAAAAGGAGAGAATAAATATCTCTTTTTGTTCATTTGACTTATGACTTACGTACATACTAATTGATTTAACTGTTCTGTTCTAGCCAGAGTTGAAAGGTTGAGATTTATACAGATGTCTTTATGAACTAATAATTTAAGTTCAAAATAAAATAATAAAAATATTAAAAGTAGAACTATTAGCTCTAGTGAAACAACCTAAATTTCCAAGTACAATAAATCCACCATACTATAAAATAATGTGACTAAAATTAATGTTTTAATGAATATTTATTACGAAATGTTTTTATTTACAAAGAAATAGCTTTTATGATGAGTATCCTTCTTCATTATCCTCTCTGTCTAAAAAGTAATCTTCATCGCTAGAGTAATCAACAACTTCATCATCGTATTTCTTCGATTTATAAGCACCTAATTCCTTTATTAAAAAGCTTGGTTTTCTTTTTGTAATGTTTAAAGTGACATCACCATTGATATTATAGTTTTTTAAGGGCACGCTCATATGTAAAACTTTATCATCAACAGTAACCACAAATTCTTCATAACTCAATTTGGTCAAGGACCATACTTTATTTATTGAATCATCGGGATATAAGTAAGCAGAATAAATTACATTTCCTGAAATTATCAGTTTATTGTTAAGTATTTTTTTTTATTTCTTAATGACATTTACAACTGTATTAAATAAATACATCTAGTAAATTTGGACATAATAGATATAATGACATGAATACACTTGCTGAGTAACTACCCAATGGTAGCACTCGAATAATATTTTTTAGAACCAAAAAATGGTTCACTTAATGATCTTTTTTTAATGTCTAAATCTTACTGATTGCCTTGTGAAAATATAAGCATTGTTCCTTTGATACAGAAGCTCAAAAATTCAGAAATATTAAGCAATGAAAAAGCAAATATCTGCTCAATCGATTAAGTGAGAAAATTGAAAAACATTTGCTGTAAGTCTAATTAATAATTAATAGCTGTACACACAATAATTAAAGTTTCATGAAATTAGAAAAACGTTTTTGTAGAAAATGACTTTTCTAAAAACAATTATATTATAAAATAAAGTAGTCAATATAAATAAAATTTTTGTTTTAACACTATTACAAGTATCATAACCTTCATTTGAAGACATAATCTAAGTTGTAATAATTTTATTTTTTTTAGTGAGTCAAAATTTCTGTTTCTTGATATATATACTTTTTTAAACAAAAAGTAGACAATTCCGAAAAATTCTCACAAACTATTTTATGTAATGACACCATCTTTATTTTTTTATTTATTTTTTTTTTGAGGGGGTGAGGGCGGAGGATTAATGCCAGAGTCAAAAGACCCCCTGGGCACCAGGACACGAACTGGTCATTTTATTGTCACCAACTTCGGTTATCAGGTTGCTGGACAATGTGTGTTGCTGTGCACACTTGTTAGACCGCTCGGCCGCCACACCACTGCAATGCCACCATCATGAATATCCCTTTAGAGCGTGCCAATAGGGCATAGTAATCCCACAATTTATTGTCCTAAACCCTTACCCTACCCTACCCTTAAGAATATTTACTAGGTTGTTACAAAAGTGCTTGTGCATAAGTACAGCTTTATTTCATATTGCATATTTTAAATATTATTGAATAGTACTCTTCAAAGTATAATCCATTGTTTTCAATTACTTTCACCTATATTTCTTACAGTAATTGGATTTGAGATCGGTACTACTCATTTGGTTTTGAGGCAAAGAACTCTTCAAATCCAATTTTTATGTTCTCATAATTACCAAAAATCCGATCTTTTTAAAAATGAGCCATTGATCTAAACAACCCATAATCTGATATCTAGGATATTTACAAGATGAGGGGAAACAGTTACTGCCCGCAATTCCGATTTTTTTAAAACTTTTCCTTGGTCAAACGATAACGATGTGTAGGAGCATTGTCGTGCTGCAAAATAGCTTGGTTCATGTTGCCCAAAACGGGATACTTTGCACTCAAAACTGCATAAATTCTGTCTAGCTGTTCACAGTAAAGGTTTGAGTCCACTGTCTGCCTATACGGAACAAGCTCAAAATGCGACCTGATCTAGGTTCATCTGCAAGGCTTATATTCCCATTGTTGAAACACTTGAATCAAAGTGCAGCAGTATTTCAATAGATAACTGACTCCTTTTAAGTCAGAAATTTTTTCAGCAGCTATCTTTAGGTTTAGACCCATTACAACCAGACTTAAGTCACAAGGCATTAAAGGATTTGTCAAAATAGACATTGACATAAATAGAACAAAAACATCCTTTTAGGATTAATTATGAGAGTTGGAATTAAGATTTGTATTCATGAACAATGTCTCTACTCCTCATTCCAAATAAATTTCTGTTTTAGTATTGTTTTTTTATCTTAATGCATTACCCATTGAAAACAACTCCCTCAAATTAACACTTACTTCTCCATCTACTTGATAATGACACCACCTTATTGATGTAAACGATATGTACTTTCGTAATAAAGATTACTAATATAATTGGAACAAAATAGTGTTGCCAGAGATCCCCCAATCAAATAGTCAACTTTTTACCTCTTAGAAATCAAAATATATTTCTCTGTTCTGTTTATAAACTTGCAGAAATAAAAAAATAAAAATAAAACGCCTGTATCACTACAACCCATGAAGGGTCTTGGGTGCAGTACTATTTAAGTACTGCTTCAAGACCTACGGTTGTACAGGGAGGGGATCGGGCCAGGATCAGGCTCAACCGCCAGGTTTTTCCCCTTAAATTAATTATTTAATGAAGGGTACCCACTTTATAGAGGGCTGGGTGTACCCCAGGAGGGTCTCACTACCCCAGGGTCGCCCATGGCCAATAAAAGAGAGAGAATAAATAATTTTCTACCATGAGCTGGGATTTGAACCTGGGACCTCGAGCACCGGAAGCTTATGTGCCCTACCACAGAGCTACCCTGCTCCCGAAACTTGCAGAAATAGTAAGTTAAAAAAATAGAAAAGTAAATTCATGGTAAGAATTTGCTACGATGACTTTCTAATTATATATATCTAAATATAAACCAAAATGTTAAAACATTGCTCACCATTATAAGATTTCATATTTAATTCTATTTGGCTATCTGAGGTTTTCCTGTTTAAGGGTATTATTTTTGGTTCATATGTCTAAAAATAATAACGAGAATAAGCAACATTTTTTTAAAATTAATATTTTTGAAAATAACATAGGCTATTTTCAAACTTTTTCTCCATCACATAATTCAACATATTGGTGTGAGTCAGAATCACTGTTATCTCTTCTAGAATATCCTTGATCCAAATCACTCTTAATTATAAAAATGGGTTTAACTTCGATAACTTTTGTATCTTTGAAGAAATAAATATGTCTATGTTTCATGAGAGAAAAAAGAAATTTTATGTATCTAGGAGGTCACTTGACGAAAACAGTATTATAAACTGTTCTTTACAATCAATATTGATTTGAGAAATAAATAAAAAGTTTGAAATAAAATTAATTCATCATTGGATACAATTGATTTTTTAGTAAAATTTATTTTAGGAACTTTATGCTGAGCTTTTAAAATGCTATTGTATCAATTGAGATATTATACCTAAATAGAGTTCCATATGTTGAATAATATTTAAAAATATCAAATGAAAACCTAAGAAAGAATTCATAATTTTATAGAGTTAATTTTATAAATTGGAAGGAACTTACTTTTCCTTTTGAAAACAGTTTTACATATTTGGATTCAAGACTCCTGAAAATGTTTAAATGCTATGAAAATAAAGATATGTGTTTTTTGTCATAATTGAGATGGAAAATGAAAAATATTTTATATTACCTATTATGATTTTCTAGCATTGGATTTTTGTGAAAATTAGTAGAACATTGATGGACAACATATTTATATTTAGTACCATAAGCATCACGATATTCTGATGTTGCAGGAGTTTTACTATATTCATTTCCCAACACTGTAAATAAACAACTAAATTACAAAGATCGAAGAAGGCTTTGGCTTTGAATTTCATGTCTCCCTTCATTCATCCGTACCAAAATCTTCAGATTCTTTATTAGATTTAATTATAACCTTTTCACTACGTCCAGCAGTTTCACTTTTACCCTTATGTTTACTTCTATCTCCAATTAAAGTATTATCTTCAATTTCGGAACCATAAGCATCTGCATACTCTGTGGTGATTGGAAAATTGCTGCTACTATCGTCCTCTTCACTTCCTATAAAATAACTTAATCATTTACTGAGCAGTATCATTTATAAATTAAAAAAAAATATGTAGATCATAAAAAAT